CGGACGCAGCTGCCCCGTGCGGTACCTTTTCCATGATCGACCAGCGCTCTTCCACGTCCTCGTACGGCAAACGAAGCGTGTCGAGCTCCGTCAAGACGACGCCAAACGAGTAGATGTCGGCGGCGATGGTGTACACTCGCCCCATACCCTCGTCCCCAGGCACTCGGAGCACCTCGGGGGCCATCCAGCTCGTTGTGCCTGCGTGGGACGTCATGATGTCGTCGTCCATGAGGCGTGAGGACCCGAGGTCACCGAGGCGAATGTAGTGGGTCGTCGAGAGGAAGATGTTGAGGCTATTGACGTCGCGGTGGATGATGTTTTGTTTATGGAGGTCGGCGAGTGCGTGCGCCAGCACCAAGGCGACGTCAAGCGTCGAGACGTCCAGGGCGACGGATTGTCCGTGGCGCTTCTTCTGGAGGTAGGCGCGCAAGTCGCCTTGGTCCATGTACTCCATGACCATGGTCGGGTTGTACAGCCAGTGTCCTCCGTCAAGGCCACGGACGACGACGGGCTCGCTCGTGCCATTGTCGAGAACTGCGAGCAGTGGCTGGACGTACGCCGAAGAGACCCTGTGTTTCTTGTGTTAGTCAATACAGAGGTTGGATCACGTACGATTGCATGGTCTCGATTTCCTCGCGAAAATGACGGACCGAGCGCGGGTTGGGAAACTTTGGGCCTTTGACAACCACCGAGTTTCCGTGGTACGTGGCCTTGGAAATGGTGGTCGAATCGTAGCTGGAGATTTGGGTCTCGACCGCAATGTCATCCGCCGCAGCCTACTCAATGCAATATGACGACGACCTGTCTCCACCCTCCACGACGTACCGTGCTTGATCCTGGGTACAGGATTGGGTACAAGATGTCTGCGATGACAAACTGATCGTGCTGAATGACCGACGCCAGCAGCGTTTGTCCGTTCTAGTGTCGATTCACATGAGCTCGCACAAGAAGCAACAATTGGATGTGTACCGGCATCGAAGTCGATGCATCCGCCCCGCGATCAACCAAGAAACGGACGACGTCGGCGTGGCCGCCATGCGCCGCCTTTTGCAACGGCGTCCATTGATCCTAATACATCCATACACGGTCCTTCCATGTCTCTGGGATCAAGTATCGTACCATGCCTCTGCACTCAATGTCGGCGCCCTCGACTTTGACGAGTCGCTGGACCTCGGCCAAGTCCCCCGTCGACGCCGCCTGCAAGAGCGCTCTCTACACCGCGAGAGACCAGGGTGAGGATGCTGCTTTCTGTTCAAGGGCAAGGGTCGTCGGTACCTTGTTTGTCATCCGTCGCCAATAAGAAATGAGGCAAACGAAGAAGGGAACGAATGTGATATCAGTTGAGTTTGCTGCACACAGTAGCAAACAGCCTTGCGCGGGATTGTTGCGTCGTCGTCTCACTGAAACTCAATCGCACGTTTTGAAAGCGTCAGTAGACTCAGGGGCTCATCTACACTACTTTATTGTATTTGCCCTTGGTAGACTATAATCTATTTGCCTCGTAACAAACGGGCCGTAAAGCGCGGGACTCGCTGGGAGCCGCACGCCTCACCCCAGTACAATACTAGGAGGCCGAATAAGATGTGAGTATCTTAGTTACTGGGACCACTACAGCGAGGGAGCCCGTTGATTGGCTGGATGTTCTGACTGTGTGCGCCTTGCTGGGCCTGATGGCGGTCATGTGCACCTCTTCTGTCGCTTGCCCTGATGCGGGTGCCCCGGGGCACCGGTATACCCGTACTGGACCCAATGCGCATATTGCTAATAGCAGCTTGAAGCGGCCAAAAGCCTCGCGACAAAAGTAATTGTTTGACGAAGAGACAAAGGTAACGTTAAACCATTTACGCCCGATGCGTCTCACTACGTTGTATAGCAGCGTGCTGACAATCCAACTGTAAGTAGTACCGGTACAAGAGCTGGTGGGAGCTCTATTGCTCGCTCTTTCACAAGTAAATACGTGCGATGCGTGCCTAGAAGGGGTCACATCGCACGTATTTACTTGTACAAAGAGCAAACAATATATGGTGTAAACAATATATGGTGTGCGAAGCACCCAGGAGTGATGCGTGAAAGGTGACCTGCGTGCGTTCAGGCACTGTTGGACGGCAAAGTGGCGCGCAAACAAAGGACAGTATGTGTCCACGGTTGTAGTTCCAAGTTCGCATCGATAATGACGTGTTCACGTCGCCCAGCCCGATGTCGTGTCCTATCTTCGAATGGTGCAGCTTCTGCAAGCGCACCTAACTGAAACGTTGCGATCCATTCGGTCAAGTGCGCTTGACGTTGACAAGAGCGCGCCACGTCATGGAGAATTCTACCGGTAATCACAAGATCGAACAGCTGGAGCGACGATATCGCACTTAACACTGAAGGACACATCAATCGACAGAGTGGGCAAGTTGTCCATTTGATTGACCAGCACTGCAACCAACGCTGCAAGCAAGGGTACAAGGATTTATGTTCCCTTGCTACAGTGTAGTACAAGTCAGGGTGATCCATCGCTTTTGACTTCGATGTAAATAGCGAGCGCGTCAGATGATTTGTCCATCTTTGGTCATTAGCTAAGGTATGGTCAACTTTTGGACAGGCCACACTTCTGGTATACTGTAATACTAGTACTATTGGAACTCGAGCGTTTCATTTTTTCTGCTTCCGACGTAGACGAGCCACGTGAGCTCGGACGTGGTCAAAAACGTCTTGTACCACGCAAGGGGTCGTGTCGCAAGCACCGCGCCAATTTCCGCCGCTTCAGTCTGAGCGGTGGCGTGTTCAAAAGCCAAATGGCAGTCATAGACCGAAGAAACATCACCGGTCGACCGACCCACGACATGCCAATCATGCGGTTGAGGCAAAAGAGGTTGGACCCTTCCATGTCGCCGCGATGGTACACGAGCGAGAGGACGATGCCGCTACTGACGGCAATTGACGCGTTCATGACGTAAAGGACACAATATTGACAAAAATCGAAAAACTCTGTGGCGTCGCATCCAGATCCAGCACCATCGACTCGATGGTGATCGGCGAGGCCCCCCGCGACACCTGTGAACGTCACGACCCCACCGCCAACGCTCAAAGAAAGTTCAAGCCATAAAATGTCCATAGACAGTCCGTCGCATCCAAGATCGGGATCCGGGTCAAGACGGTACTAGTATCGGATGAGGCGTTGGCCATGAGCAATTAAAGCAGCGAAACGTTGAGCGCGTCGACGTCGGAGGCCACGTCCGATAGAAATAGAGAGGTGAGCACGGGTGCAATGTAATCTCCACTCCAAGTACGCAAGGATATGGCGTGGTCTGCATTGTAACCAGTGTGTCGAACCGGTTAGAATCAGGTCGGATGACCGGCCATACACGGTTGCCACAGAGAAGCGGTTGGTCGCCATGAGAGCACATTCCACCACTGAACTGCATCCGAATCGAGCTACCAGCTACAATGTATCAGGGCTCCAGTATTACACGCTCTGTCATTGCGCTAAAAATTTGCACCGCGTTCTTGACACGTGGCACAATGCAGTGTACATCGCTTCGACTTCAAGTTCGACGTCTGCGCCTGCTGATTACTGCCAGCAATTACTGCCCGTTGCCCAACGAAAGTCCATGATGTTGTCCTGTCGGCTTGAAATGCAGCAAGCTCCTCCTTCCTCCTCAAGTTTGAAAATAATGAATTCAACAATATATATGCCACTGCCGTGACTCTAACTACGTCGCGACGCGGTCCTTGGTCTCTCCGCCATTTCCTATGGGCCCAGACCCAAGATGCGCTGGAGTTCGCCCGACTTGTACATTTCGAGAAGCGTATCGCTGCCCCCGAGAAACTTGCCGCGGATAAAAATCTGTGGGATCGTCGGCCAGCTCCTATCCAATACGACAATAAGACAATAAGACAATAAGAATGCCTCGCGGTCCCGTACGAAAAATCCTTGATCGCTTGGCGCAGCTCGGCGCACTCGAGCAGATTCGCGACGCCAAAGTCGACGTCGAGCGTGCGGAAGACAGCGACGACTTGGCTCGAGAAGCCGGCCTCGGGCGCCTCCCGCGTGCCCTTGATGTACAGCATCACGGTATGGGTGTCGATCTCGCGCTGGATCCGCTCGTACACCGACATGCGTCGAACGAGGTCAAAAGCCAATTGAGGCACAGCAACGAAAACGCCTTTGGTTCTATATCACCCCGACGATCGACCGCGTTGGGACACTGTGGTCACCATCTCCGGCCACGCCAGAGGCCAGTGGGTGGTCCTTGATCAGCGCCGCTTCCAGCGCGATCTAATGGAAACCAACCATCACCGCCCGTTCCACCCACGCGATTTGATGGACGCGCGCCATGACCTCTGGACGTACCCGGCTACATGCATGCGCCATGGCGTCTGTATCGCCTCCCCTTCCGCGTGGAGGCAGGCAGTCGACTGGCGACAAGGCGTTGCCAGCGCGATGTCCATGCTTGCTCTGTCACTTGCCAATGTACCACACGGTAGTACATGGCTACCGTACCTGCCTGGTGCGATGCACTGTACGTCGGCGCGCGACACCCTTGGCCTCCACCACCACCATGCACGGTACGACACCCAAGCACGAGAATCATGGGAATCGAGGGTTCGCCCCTTCCACACCGTACGGGGCTATTATTCGATCCCTGTCTCAATAGGTAAGCTATTCTAGATCCAAGGACGAGGTGGCTGCGGCTGTTCACGCCAGAAGACGCTGCATCGAACAATGCCCGCACGACGGTAGTACTGAGACTCGAACCCACGGCGAAAAGAGAATCGCTTGTGTGTCTTAGTGGCGCGGCGCTGCCCGCAACTCGGTGAGCCGAATCGAGTCGCGGTTGGCGTATGTAAACAAGGCCGGAAAGTCGCACGGCAGCTCCACATAGTCGATCGCATGGGCGTGGAGCTGGTCCAAGAAGGCCTGGAACGTCGAGGCGTTGCGGATCGTCGAGGCAAAGATCGCGGTCGTGCGTGGCCGCGCCAAGAAGGCCGCGAGGACGCGCATGAGATCGGGAAAGGTGCGGACGTCATAGACGCAGTCGCCAGCAATGAGCACATCGTACGACGTCTCGCAGTCGTCCCAATTCCAGTTGGTCCAGTCGAGCACCGCGGTCGTCACGAGGCAGCGCGAGAGCATGCCTCGAAAGGCGTTGAGCTCGACGTTGTAGCGCAAGTTTTGAAGAACCACGGGGGCATAGTCGGTGACCAGCACATGGGCGGGCGGCTGCGCAGCGTTGGCCGCGAGCACGAGGCCGGTAAAGCCGGCGCCGGCGCCGAGCTCAATCACACGCTTGTTGGCAAATGCTACCGGGTGCGCGAGGCCATACTCGGCCAGGTAAAAGCCCGCTTCCCAGAGCTTCATGCCGACTTCGTTGTGGGCGGTGGCGACGCGGCACGTAATGACATCTTTCCGAGTGGCGTTGGGCAATCGGAGCCGATACGAGACGTGGTGCAGCTCGTCGAGGTTGTTGAAGCTCTTGTTGTTGGAAATGCACGCCATGAGCTCGGCCATGAGCTCGTCCGAGATGTCGCCGCCGGCCATTTCAGCATCTACGGTGGCGCGGTCGTCGATGGCACGAGACCATGCAGCGTACCGTGTACGTACATCTTGATGATGCGATAGGTGTAGGCTTGCTTGGGCGCATAGTCGTCGCAGATGGGGTCCCGGAAGATCTCGGCCACGACCGCGTCCTACCACGCACAGACAATACGTACGTCGTAAAAATGATGGTCGTTTTTGGAAAATGATGTTCGTACCTGAAAGTCGATCTAGAGGTATGCGTCCGATGCGCGAAGCGCGGCCATAAACACCTCGACCGGCTCCATCTCGCGGTAGAGGTCCAGGAGATGCTCCATGGTCACACTCTGCCTTGTCAAAATGGCCGGACGACGAACTTTAGAAAATTAAGAATCGTACTTATCGAGGATGGCTAGATGCACGCCTTTTAAGCATCCCATGCACGGCATAGGGCATCACAGGGAGAGGTGGCCACGCCGGCGACATGCACGGCGCATCCACTTCGATAGATTTATGCGACGACTTTGCTTGCTGCGCACGGCAGATCGCGCGATGGTTCCACGCATGAGGTTGCAATGGTCGCGTTGCGTGGGTTTAGACAAATGCGGCGCCACCACCGTCGGTTCATTTTTCACATATACAACAGCTAAACGCACGCCATTTCGGGCGTGGGGGAGATTCGATGCCGGCGCAAGAAGCGAAGGTTACCGAGTTGGCTTGCGTCATGCGCTGCCGTAGGATTGCCTTGCTTCGAATGTCGTGCCTGTGTGCACATCATGCCGTGCAGACATGTCTGTCACAGGCCTCGATCCTCCTGGACGGGTCCCAAACGTTGCGTGCATATAGCCAAGCGCGTTTCAAAATGACAGGTCCCAGTTG